CAGATCAGCATGTAAGAATTTAGATATGCTATTTCCATTAATACTAATGGGAGCCATGTGGTTATCGTTATATCTGAACTCTCTTGAATATTTTTATCTCCCTGTTGCAAGAGTCTTGGGAGAAAATGTCAATTTCAGAGGCAAAGACAAGAAGGGTTATTTCCTGGACTTTTTGCCTAGAATCATTTGTGGCTCCACTGTATTGATGCTGGACAATTTTAACTCGAAGAATGCCAAAGGAAAGAAGAAGAAGAAGAAGGAGAAGGAGAAGGAGAAGGAGAAGGAGAAGGAGAAGGAGAAGGAAAAGGAGAAGGAGAAGGAGAAGGACAGACAGACAGACAGACAAAGATAAGGTTCTTGTGGGTTTTTTCGGGCTATAGAGCCATGTTCTAGAGGCATTTCTCCTGACGTTTCGCCTGCATCTATGGCAAGCATCCTCAGAGGTGTGAGGTCTGTTGGAAGTAGGAAAAATGGGTTTATATATCTGTGGAATGGCTGGGGTGGGGCACGGAGCTCTTCCCTGCTGCAGTGTGCCCCACCCCAGCCATTCCACAGATATATAAACCCATTTTTCCTACTTCCAACAGACCTCACACCTCTGAGGATGCTTGCCATAGATGCAGGCGAAACGTCAGGAGAAATGCCTCTAGAACATGGCTCTATAGCCCGAAAAAACCCACAAGAACCTAGTGATTCCAGCCATGAAAGCCTTCGACAAGACAAAGATAAGTTTTGGAGGCTCTATTTTTATTTGTTTGAATGTTTTACTACAGGCTTGTGATTCATAAGCCACTATTTGACACAGAATTAAAGATTTTTGGCTGAGCCTGGGGATTCAGTAGTAGACCTGAATGGAAATCACAGTACTTCTTTGTAAAAATCCACTTCCAGATAAAGCAACAGTCTACAAATAAACAAAGAAAAATGGTTTTGCACAAAGCTGACATCAAAGGCATTACACATCTAACCCCCAAGGGGAGTGTTTCAGTTAAGATGCTACAACTAAAATGTGTTATTTAAAAATGTCCACTTCACTTCCAAAGGGAAGAATATCACAAGAAACAACCCTGAGAATGATCTTAATGTTTTATCACGACCACACGGTCAAAGTTGCTTTAATCTCCAGCTATTTCTCATTTTAAAGGATAAATCCAGCACTTTGAGTGTTCCTTAAATGGAATAAGACCTGATGCAATGACCTTGACATTATTTATTTGCATTTATTTAAGATAACCAAGATTTTTTTCTCACATGAAGAGTGCTGCATTTTGAATGAACTGCAGTTTGAAAGCAATCTTTGGACGCATTAAAAACGTACTGAATTAAACCAAGATTCACTTTACTGACCAAATCCAGTCTATAAGTGATTTCATATACTTGTCAAGCACTTCTTCAGCAGAGTTTGACAAAACAAAACAAAACAAAACAAAAAAATAGTAGTGCTGCTGGGTATTATAACAAGCATGCTGATGTCACCTAACTTCAAATAGTGGATGGCCTCATAGAAGTTTCATGCAGGTGTTAAATGAAAAACATTCCTTTCAATCCCATAGTTCTGCAGTCTTTCTTTCTGGAAGTGGCCATCCAAGAAGGAATGGAGCACTGAAGCACATTTTCTCCTGTCCCCACCCTGATGGATGTCACTGAAAGTCAATGAAAGGTCCAGGGGAATTAGTGGAGCTGCATTCCCCTATCCTTCTTCTGGCACAACAATCTATCAAGGCAACAAAAGACATTTAATGCCAGAGACTAGAAACTAGATTGAAATTGATCTAATTAATCAGTGTCATCCATGAGAAGGTGGCATTTCATGACTATCATTCACTCAGACACTTTGCCCTCACAACTATCTGTAAGTTGAACTAGAGCAGCCTTCTTTGGGAATGGCCTCATGACTTTCTTCTTAAAGACAATTAGCACTTGTTCCTCTTGCAAGGAATTATTTACTTTATAGTCGCAGTCAATCAATTAACTCAGTTTTATGAACCAAGAATGGCAAAACCTGAACAAGTAGGTGTTTGGCCACACTCTTCTAAGCACATTGTCCACTAGAGCTTAAACAGATATAATACATTAAACACCATATAATTAGATAGTGTTCTGGATACACTGGTGTGTTCCTTAGCATTATTGCCAACAAAATAGCATGTATGTTACTGTGAAACTGAAAAGAAACCCAATACCCATTGACAGACTTATTCAAAATGAGATTATTGAGCTCCTTTTAATGTAATTAAAGCATCTGGGAACATAACATAATGAAACTCTATCTATCTATCTATCTATCTATCTATCTATCTATCTATCTATATATATATAGTATCATTTGACATATTACTGAATCCCAATATCATGAGGCCATTTCTTTAACAAGTTTTGTTTTGAAAACAGACTCAAATAATATATTGTTTAACACAATTTAAAAACTTAAATGATCTCTGGCATTACTGTTAATAAAAAAAACTGATTGGAGCAAGCAGTATTCAAGTTCATATCTAATGTTCCAAGCAGATATTTAAGCAAAATTTTCAATGTTTTCCATTTTCAATGGGAAAAGGTATCTCAGTAGATCACCATGATTATGCAACAATCTCAAGGAATTGAAAAAGAAATGCACAAACATTTTTTCGTAAATGGTTTTAACATGTATGAAATAATATAAAATGTACAGACTTTAGACAATCTTTTTGCAGGATAAGACAAAACTTTTGGAATTATCCATTCTTGTATACAACAGTCAAATAATGATTTGAATCTCTAGATCCAAGTTCTTTGCATATCAAAATAGTTCTCTGAACTCTCCCTTCCAAAATGATTTCCTCCCATTCTCCCTTATAGCTATTATACTGAAGAGTAGGAAACTCTGATGAACATCAAAATTAAAAATCTTTATTACAGTCATAGACCAGAATAAGGAGAGTGAGGTACAGTCACATAAAATCATTGTACATTAAAATCTAAAAGGCTAGAAAACAAAGGTATGTTGAAGGCTAAAGAACAAAAACTATTTAGAGAAGGGAAGGGACTAGAAGGGGATGGAGAAAGAGAGAGATTGATGGAGGGATAGGAGCATTAGGGCCACGAGTCTAGCAGCAGGGTGGGGTAAAATTGTCCTAAACAGCCTGGGTAATTATATAGCAGTGGCAAGATGAGTCTGGACCAAATGTTTTTGTAGAACAGGCACTGGATTAGCACAAGATCACTTGTTTCTATTTGACCCGAGTTACAGAGGCAGAGTCTCTCTGTGGAGATGGTCTTCCAGTATCGGCCTTCAAGTACAACTGATGGAAGGGTGTGACATCGAGCCAGGATGAAGGCCCTCTGATGATTGGGGATCTCTAGATTTGCTAAGTATACCATAGGAAAGGTGAGATATCTGCTAGCTTCATTGGCAATAAAGATTGGGGCATAGGTGAGATCCAATTAGTGCTCTGTATCTGAGATATGTTTGATGAATGCTTTGGCTTGGTCGTGCTCCATACTGAATAGCAACCCTGGAGAGAAGCACAGTGATGAGATTTTCATTGCTACTGTCTGTTTACATGTGGACTGGAAGTCATCCTTCATGGTTAGTGGGGCAAGACCAGGGGGATCACGGCATATCCTGAGTCAGTAGTTGAATATGACCACCCACACTCTGGCCTCCACTTTCATGAAGCTGGTCTCCAATCACAAAATGGCATTGGAGATGCATTTTGGTACTTGCAGGGTTAATCTAAAAAAAAATTGACTGTACATGCTCGGGGGAGAGGGGTCAAAGTTGGAGAAGGGGCCTAGCTGGGCTTCATAAAGTAGTAGTGCCACTGGTTTGGCTTCAAATAGTTCAAGTGCTGCAGGTATGAAGTAGCCCCCTCTTGACTTGAGGTATTTTAGAATATCAAAAGAGCCCCTTTGCACAGACTCAGCATCATCTGCATAAAGTAAGGTGAAAATATGTCTTCCTGTGAGTTTTGGGGGGTGAAAATCCATGTTGTGAAGATGATCCACCATGGAGTTGATGTAAAAGTTAAATAATAGAAGGGCCAAGATGTAGCCTTGCTTGACACCTTTTTACATTCCAACTGCTTTGGTGAGGTGGCCCTGAGGGTTACATCTTATTTTCCCTTCATGGAGTAGTTGGATTAAGTAAAGAAATTGTTGGTCGATTGTAGAGCTCTCCAGTTTTTCCCACAGTTTAACTCAAGAGATGGAGTTAAAGGCTGCTTTAAAATCTATGAAAGTGACATAGAGTGAGGGTGTATTTTGGGAGCATTTTTCAGCAAGCTGTTGGTCTATGGTGGATCGACCTTCTCTGAATCCAGCTTGCTCCTCAGCAAGTATGTTTTCTCATTCCAGCCAGTCCTGGAGTTTTCATTGAAGATATCTCACATATAACTTGCTGGTTATATTGAGGAGGCTAATTGGTCTGTAGTTTGCAAGGTCATCCTTTTCCCCTTTCTTTTTGTAGATGGGGCAATGATTGCAAGCCCCCAATCCTTGGGGATTTGGCCATAGTTGTTGATACATGTGAAAAGAGAGGCTAGGATGGCATCCAGATTGTTCTTGATGGCCTCTGCTGGGATAAGATCTTCTCCTGGGGCCTTTCCTGGTCTTAGTTGGGCAACAAGGTTCTTGATCTCGGTTGCTGTTATGGGTGGCCACAGTGGAAGTTTTTCTATGTCAAGGCTGGAGCGGTCACTTCTAGCAGAGGTGTCCGTATAAAGTTCTTGGAAGTATGCCTCCCAGATCTTTGGGAGAATATGAGGGCTAACTAATACAAATAATAATAATAATAATAATAATAATAATAATAATAATGGAAAACACAATAAACTTTATTTTTCAAGTTTAAGAAGGGAAAATAAAGATAACCACACAAATGCAGGAAGAGAAGAAAAGATTCTCCCCTGTCACAAAGGCTGTTATCCCTCTTCCATGTTACACAAGTATTTTTTTTTCTTGTCAGGTTCACACAGCTGGTCTAAAATACGTATTAAATTGTTTTGTATTAGTGACCTTACCTCCCAGGGTAGCTGACAGCAGGAAGTGTGTCCCATATTTCTTGATAATGTTTTCTGTGATCTGTTGAAGAGTTGGCCTACGTCCTATTAGCCTTATGTTTCGGAAAAATTCAGGGGCGAGAGGCAGTGGGGAGCCAAGAAAGTTTTTTCTCTCAACAGCTAAATTGTTAACTTTCCAACGACCAAATTCCCTGGAAAACAAATAAAAAAATAAAAAATAAACATTCATTTTAAAATAGAGCACTATTTGTGTGTATATATGTACTATTACAAACAGTATTTTAAAAATGATAAATTCAAAAAGAATTATAGCAAAAAAAATCACTGGTTGAGATTACATTTTTATTTTGAATTCAATTTGAAGTCAGGCTTGATGAGCTATGAAACCTGTGCTAAAATTTGATTTTTCTATTTTTGGCCATTTAAGATCCTTTTGTAGAAGCATTCACTTATTTCATTGCTCTTACTAAAATTAATAAGTGTTTATATTGAGTGGATAGTATTGTGATACCACCTCAATATATGACATAATCAATCATTTGAAGAAAACCACTCATACAATCAGGCAAGAAGTAAGTCAATAGCCAAGAGCCAAAAAGGGTCTTAAGTTGTGACATAGAACAGGTAGGAGGATTATGATACTCCTACAGCCTACTAATATTTTAAAAATATAAAAATGCTACAAATATTACTTTATCACCAGAACCTGCTACTGTGAATAAACACTATATACCTGTTTATTGGATATATCTGCCTTACCAACTGGGTGAAACATTTGGAATGGATTTTACTGCACATGCTTATGCCATTATAATTTTGCAGGGTACCAAGATATTTTTGCTGCAACATTATAACATGATGAACTTTTTCAGATGTTTTATCAAAAATATACAAATAATACTTAAGAGTGTTTTCTTTCATAAGATTTGCATTCTTTTCCTTCATGACTGTTATTAATTATACACATTTAAATGAGTGTTTAGATTGTCAGGGACTCTCCAAACACTTGTGTCACTGAAAATGTATGATCTAGTAACTGAAGCATCGTGTGGTGCTTCAGTACATGAGATTAGTGTAAAATAGCTTTGAAAACATATCAGGCCCCTTCTACACTGCCATATAACCCATATTATTAAATCAGACAATCCACATTATCTGCTTTTAACTGGATTATATAGCAGCATTATTTGGCGGCATAGATCCAGCCTGAGAGAGCACAGAACCCTTTATAAAGTGGTCCTGGATAGGGGTGTGTCAGGACTCGGTTTCCTGGCCTCGGACATTGGCGCAAAAAACCCGCGTCCTGACTCGGAGAGCTGATAAGAATGTGCAGCTGGTGGCCTTGGGGYAAAHCAGTTGYTAAWTGGKGGGGAACATTGCGCGGGATCCTRGGCTGGCYGGAAAGGGAYATTCAYTTGTGAGGGAGGGTATAAAAGGGATTGACCTGRYGCTGTATGCCAATCCTGGCTTTCGTTGTGTATGCATTTCCAGTAGTAAAGGTTTCCTGATTGATTACGGATTGGCGTCCTGTGTCTTTTCTGGGAGCGGCTGCTGTGAGCTTACAGGTGTGCAAAGCTTTGGAGTCCCGTTTCGTAATTCGGATATTTGTATGATTTGTTAATACGAATTTCTGACATACTAATTGGAAAGGGACTGACACATTACAAATTGAAATACAAGCCTCCAAAACTTTCAGAGAGATGTGTAAATACTTGTTTCAGAGCTTTTTTTCCAATGTAACATACTCTATCATCCATAATTGTTTGGGGTTTGGGGGGGGGAAGGGCTGGTGTGATTAGCCGCTACATGCTGTTTGTTTTCTCATGTCAGTCAATCTGAAGAAGAAAGGAAAAGCTGGTCTCCTCGTCAGCATCTCTGTGTCTTTGTGATACTTGCAGGAGATAAATAAAGATGTGTGTCTGGAGATCCATTGTGTTTCTGTGCGTTTCTTAAAACTTAAACTTATAATAGTTTTTTTTATAGTTCTGTTTCTTTCTATGCCATCATGTCCAGTCTATAATCTTCCTCTTTTGAAATTATTATATTGAAACTTATATTTTCCAAATTCCCATAACGAGCTAGCTATACTCTCTCCCCAGCCCTTACCTTCTCTTCAAATACTTCTTTTATCAATTTTCTCTGTGTGTTTATTGCTTAAATCTCTTATTGATATGGAAGTGATGTAGAGTCTTTTCATACTGTAATGCAGGCAGCCCCATTATTTTGGTGCAAGCCAAAGTCTATGAAATGTAGTTTGGGAAGGTGAGGACCTCTGTAGCAGAGTATCCAAAGGCCCCACTCTAAACTATATTTCCCAGAATTCTGCTTGAGCCAGAAAAACAGATGCCCACGTCCCAGTTAGGTTAATCATATGTGCTTAAATTTTAAAATATCTTTAGATCAGTGTGTAGACCAGTTATTCTGAAACTTGGCAGGCTTGCTGCCCTGCTCATGTTGTCTCACTATACCATAATTTATAGTTTTTTTTAAAAAAAATATCCTTGTAGTTTTTAAAAATAATTTTAATTGAAAAAGCTTTTAAAATTCCTAAAAAATAGTAGATGACCGAATCTTTCTGAAACTTTGCAGGATTGGTTCCCTGCTTATGGTGTCTCATTGTGATTAAATCAAAGGGGATATCTCATAGTTTTTTTAAAAAATGTAAAAAAATTAAGAGTTTATTTAAAATCATTGGATGACTAAAACACTCTGTAACTTGTCAGGCTTGAAGTTATAAATGTTGCCTATAAGTGTACCAAGTTTCATCCTGATAGCCATAAAAATGTCAGAAAAATGAACCTCTGCATTTTCTCTATTGCTGTTAATGGAACAAATCTTAACAAAGCAATTACAAAGCTTCAGAAATTTGGATTATGGATCGGAACAGGATCCTCCAACTCTTTACAAAATGAAGCAGGGACCATCTGAATCTCCAAAATGAATTACTATTTGGATTTCAGTCGTTTTGCACACCTCTAGTCCTGGAACTCCCTCAGAAGACTGTTGTTGTTTAACTTCAAGTTATTGCCAACTTATGCCTAACACAAGGTCACCCACTGGGTTTCCATGGCTGAATGGGGATTTGGACTCCAGTATCCAGAGTTGTTGTCCATTGTTCAAATCAATATGTCATGATGCCTTTCCCAATCCCAAAACCACTCTTTAGGATACACTTGTCTCTCTTTGATGTTCACAAAGGTTTCCCAATAATATCTAATAATACACACACATGCACCAACCCTTAAATATATTTTATACTACTATTTTCATCAACATTTAGTTTTTCTTAAAAAGTGATAGAACAGAAGTATGAATAAGGTAATAAAGAAACCAGGCAGTGGCATATGGTAGTTTCTTCTACTGGCAGTCCTTTGCATAGAAACATGTGAGTAAATAACCCCTCAAAGCAGGTTAGTAAAATTACCCTTCATTTTACTTTCCTTATTTTACATGACAGTAATGCTTCCAAAATAAATTCTAAAAGGGAGGCAGCCTTTGATTACCACTGAAGATAAATTATTCCAGAGGCTGCATGAACCACAAAGAATGACAGTTCCTATTCGCTAGTCTCAAATATATCAGTGGTTGCAGTGAAAGCAAACAAGTCAATTAAGCAGTAATAAGTGCATCTTTCATTCATTTACTTAGCAATTAAGATGAGGCTAAGAGTTATTAAGAAAAGGACACATTGTCCTCAAAATCTAATGAATGGAACATTCTTGTTGCAAAACATCTGTGGAATCCTGATGTTGAGGAGTCATGCCAATGGTTATAGCATTTGTTTCAAAGGAAATGTAGAGTATAGATGATGCTTACTATGCTGAGATAACATAACAGCTTCTGTCTTTTCCTTAAGCCTTAGAGGACATGGCATTTACCACAGAAACGGATCAAATTGGTCCTTCTTTTCATTTGAAACCACACAAAGGGATACTTCATATGCATCGAGGTGGGACTCATGAAGTCCTATTTAGTAACACCAATGCTGAAGAATGAAGCAATTCCATTCAGTTACTTTTATGAATTTACGCTTAGCCTTTCTTCTGAGATGGGATCAAAGTTGGCACATGACATAGATTTTAACAAAAATCCAGGTGTTATAAATATTATAAAGCAAGCTACTTCCTTGATACACCACAAATTCAAAGTATAGCAGTAAGAGCGAAAGTACAGTCACATGAAATTTGTTTTCACTAATAGTTCATACCCAAATACCAGTTCAAGTAAAATTGTTTGATATACATGAAACATGCCCAACCAATAATTAAAGTCACAAGAAATGGAAAAAAATTACATCTTTGTTTGTTTTATCGCAGAATAGCAGAATCTGTTTTCTGAATTTTTAGGCTAAGCCAAAAAAGAAAAACAAACATAGAGTATTGCCTTCTTTCACAGAAAAATCTCCCATAGATCAAGGTTCTAAGATACGGATTCTGTTAAAACAAAACAAAAATCTATCCAGTGAAGGTAAAAACCATGGTTCATAGAGTTCTTTCAGTAGTGGCTACCACTTTGAAAAAATTCAGAAAAATTTCACTACCACACACAAATATAAAGGCAATCTCAAATACTGCTATTTCTCCAGGAAAGATGCAGTGTAAATTAATACATATCCTCAGTGTTCCTGGAGTATGATTGCATTCTGCATTTACCGGGAGGAGGCAGTGTAGGAGAGATATCATGGTATATGTGCCATTAATGGGGTAGAGATTTGCTATTTAACTCAAGTTTTGGCTTCCTAGGGTTTGGCTTCTGCTTTAGGGCAGGGATACAACTGCGTGGGAGGTGGGGGGGGGCACATTCTGGTTTTGGAAGTGCTAGGTGGCTTGTTGTTGTTCATTCATTCAGTCGTTTCCGACCCTTCGTGACCTCATAGACTAGCCCACACCAGAGCTCCCTGTTGGCCGTCACCTCCCCCAGCTCCTACAGAGTCAAGCCAGTCACTTCAAGGATACCATCCATCCATCTTGCCCTTGGTCAGCCCCTCTTCCTTTTTCCTTCCATTTTCCCCAGCATCATTGTCTTCTCTAAGCTTTCCTGTCTCCTCATGATGTGGCCAAAGTACTTCAACTTTGTCTCTAATATCCTTCCCTCCAATGAGCAGTTGGGCTTTGTTTCCTGAAGTATGGACTGGTTGGATCTTCTCGCAGTCCAAGGCACTCTCAGAACTTTCCTCCAGCACCACAGTTCA